CCTCCCACACTCACCCTGGACACCTCCCCATGCCCACCCTGGACACCTCCCACACTCACCCTGGACACCTCCCACACTCACCCTGGACACCTCCCATACTCACCCTGGACACCTCCCCATGCCCACCCTAGACACACCCCCATGCCCACCCCAGACACCTCCCCATGCCCACCCCAGACACCTCCCCATGCCCACCCTGGATACCTCCCATATTTACCCTAGACACCTCCTCCTGCCCACCCTGCACACCTCCCCTTGTCCTCCCTGGTCACCTCCACATGCTCCCTGGAGATAATTCTCCAATTGCTCTCCTGCCACGGATGCCCTCCTCTTCCCCAAAGTAACTACTGACTTCTGATCCCATAAATTTGTCTTTCTATTGGGATATTTTTAAAGCTCTGTGTCTTGGGCCCAAAAGCAGTGTAGTATAGCTTTACTTATTTATCTTCTCATCGACAAAGCACGAAGTAACCTTTTCCTCAATGCCACAAAACAGATCATCGTTATCCTTGTTTAATTCCAATTGACCTCACTGATGGAAATAATCTCTCATGATTCTTTTGGTTTGCATTTGTCTGATGAGTAAGGAGATGAACCAGTGCATAGTATGTTTAATGGACAATTGAATTTCTCCTGAGAGTTGCCTCTGCATGTCCATTGCCCAGTTTTCCTTGGGAGTGTCATTCACATAAAAACACCCTGGCTGCCACAAGTGTATTAATCCGTTACTTACAGGTGTCAGATATTTTCCCAGCATGTCGTCGGCTTTGTAGTGAGCTTCCTGGGTGCTTTTTCTGCTGCCTTGCTCTTCCCATCTACCAGCTCTTGCCCCCGTCCCCAGTCCTCTTCTCCCACCTCATGAGTTTAAATGCCATTTGCACAGTGCTGTGGATGGAAACACGGCCCCCAGATCCATAGTTCAAGCCCTCTCCTTAATATGGCTGCATTTGGAGACAGGGTCTTTCGGAGCTCATTTCGGTGAAATGATGTCATGAGGATGGGGCCGTGATCCCATAAGACTGGTGTCTTTATAAAAAGAGGACAAGAGCGAGAGATCTCTTTATGTTTCTCCACCATGAGAGCATCCAGCAAGGAGGTGGCCTTCTGCAAGCCAGCAAGAAAGTTCTTACCAGGACCCATGCTGGCACCTGGATCTCGGATTTCCAGCCTCTAGAACTTTCAGAAAATAAATTTCTGTTGTTCAGCCCACCCAGTCTGTGGCATTTTGTTCTGGCAGCTTGAGCTAAGGCATGCACTGAACCTGCCCACGTCTGTCTCCAGCCCAGGCCTTTCTCCTGAACTTCCGTTGTACATCTAGCCACCTCTTGACTTCTTGACTTAATGTCTAAGGCACACTTCAAGTTCAACATGTCCAAAACTGAATCCTGGTCTTCTGCCTCCTCACTCGCTTTGCCCACAGCCTTGCCCATCTGCCCAGGGGCTGCAGTTGCTCCAGCACATGCATCCTTTGTTTTCACCCCTAGCCAGCCTCACAGGAAATCCTGCCAGCTCTGCCTTCGGACTACGTCTAGACTCCGGCCACTTGCACTGTGCCATCACCATTCATCAAATGGTCCTGGCATGTTTCCATGGGCTGCTCTTCCTGTCCAGAACACTCATCTCCGAGACAGCCATCTGTTGCTCTCCACCTCTTCAAGGTTGTCACCACTGTCACCTTCTCTGTGCAACCTACACTGACCAGCTTACTCAGATTATTTAAAATTGCAACCCACCCCCTGCATCCTCAACCCCCTTGCCATGCTGTGCGCTTATGTATTCTTAGCATCTCCTAGGAAGTGTGCAGCTCATCATCTAACGATCAGTAGCGTTGACTTATGTACTTATCACATTGCATTGTATAAATATTACATAATTATTATTGCTTATTTTCTGTCTCCCTCACCAGAGGGCAGCAATCTTGTGGGTTTTTTCATTGCTGTTCCCCAACTGTGTCTCTAACCGTGTTTGGACACAGGAGACATTATTTATTTATTGAATAAATAAATGAGTATATTTAAATATATAGCCAAATCCTTCAGTTCTTTGCCTTCAGTTTTGTTTTTGTGGTCATGCCCAGAAAGCCCTACTCAACTCACCCACATATCCTTCCAGATTATGGCTGTGTTTTGTATATTAGAATTTTAATCTACTTGGAATTTAGTCATTGCATTTCTGCAAATCCATGGTTTGTCTGTTTTCCAATATCTTATTTCTCTGGTGACTTAAGCTTAATTTTTTATCCTCAATTTTTAATATACTTAGTTCTGTTTCTAGACCTTTTATTACATTCCTTTTACCTGATTATTTGCTACTATACCAGTTAACAATCTATTTTAATTATATTCAAGGCATGTATTATTTTTTAAAACTAATTAGAATTTCCAGAACTTTGTATTTGGTCTTTTGAAGAGTCAGTTCTCCGGTTTATCAATTCTATTGGGTATTTATTTCTTTTGTACCTAATTTATTAATTTGTACTTAATTTTTCAGTAATGACTTCTTTTTTAAGGCATACTGCATTATTTTCTTTTCAAAGTTTTGTTGCTGTTGTTGTGATGTTCCGCTTATTTATCTTCATTCATTCAAGAATTCAAGGCTGTGTCTTTTCTCTACGTACAATTTGGACCACATCTCTTAATATGTGTTTTCATTGTTGCTGTCTAAATGGTCCATAATTACACTTTTAATTCCTCTATTTTTCAAGAGTTGTTTAGGTTAGTGTTTTTAATTTCCCATAAATTTACTTTTATTGTTATTTGAGTGGTATTATTTTGTTTTAAATCTCTATTATTGTGGTAAAAGGATTCGTTTTATAAATTTTCTAATTTTGAAAGAGGTTTATTTGAGATTTTTCTTTCTGGTTTACAGAATGGTCATTTTCTGAAACTGTCTCAAAGAAACTTGGAAAGAATGTGTATTCTTTTGTTTGTATGTACTGGGTTTGAAATATACATCCATTAAGCTGAGCTAAAGAATTATTTTATCCATTTTTTCTATTTATTATTTGATGCTTGCTTGACTCTCAAAGAGAAGAAAGATTGGTCAATGACTTCCTTTACTCTGGTGTTCTGGCAATTTCTCCATGCCTTGTGCATTCTTGGATTCAGCCCAGACCCAGTGACACTGGATTGGGTCTCTCAGGCTGAGAGACAGATCCAAAGAGCCCAAATACTGTGCCCAAGGCCATACCAGCTAACACATCTATTCTTGGTATTGTTTTTTCTTCACCCTTTACTATAGGTGAAAGTTTTTTTGGATTTTTTTAACATAATTATAAGCACACTTATAATACTACTTTTATAATTTTGTGGGATAAAAAATTCATTAAAAGTTGATATTAGAATTCCTCTTCAAAAGTAACCTGCTTTTTGCAAGAAAAATACATTTAACTATAAGCAAAACACAAGGTGCGCACAGACACAAATTACTGACTGATAGACATAAGCAGAAATTTGGGAGTGAAGGGGGGATGAGGAGGGGAATAGTGAGAAATGGAAGCGGGATTTTAAGAACAGATGTGTAGAGAATTTATTTTTAAGATATGGTGGGTGTTTGGATGAAACCACTGTTGTTTATCCTCCAAACCTTTATGAAAACCTTCTATACTGCCCAGGAGTTTGAGGTCATAGCTTAACTATGATCAGGCCACTGCACCCCAACCAGCCTGGGTGAGGGAGCGAGACCCTGTCTCTAACAAAAACAAACAAAAACTTCTATACACACAAAGGTCTCGTCTAATTGTTTTAATAAAAAAGGATGGATTTCAAGACCTGGGGCAAAGAGTTCCCAAACAGAAATAGCAGGAAGAACATGCATCATGTTAGCTGCACCCGATCGATAGTGCTAAATGTTGCCCTTAATTAATTATGTTTCTAGATCTTTGGCTTTATGTGGCAAAAGAGGTTCCTTTTTTCTGGAGAAAGAGTTGCCCCTGGAATGTCCTGAAGGATCAGAAGAAGAGGTAAGGGACTTGAGATCATAGCTTGCAAACAGGGACTAGGGTAAAAGGCATTTGATCAAACAGCCAGAGCAATTCAAGGTTGAACAAGGAGAGGGGACCGGGACATTTGGCCCTCACCTAAATTTTCTTACCACCCTATTTTGAAAACAAAAACATAATATTTGACTACAGAAAGATTAAAAGTGTTTGGATATTAAATATATTATTAACAGCATTACAAAAATAAGAAGTTGGGAAAATATTTGTAACATACATGGCAGGGAGTTAATATGTTTAATATATAAAAAGCTCCTTTAGATCAATAAGAAAGTGGATGCCCCAACAAAGAAACTCACAAAAGACATGAATAGGAGCTCACCAACAAGGTAGATAGTGGAGCTTAAAATAATTTGTGTAGCTAAAACATAGCAAGTGCTGAATGAGTGGCTGTTACTGATTATTTGTTATAATAGCTGTACCCTGTGTGGGAAGCTCTTACGCTGGAACCAGGAGGATTTGGAGTGACGCTGCGAATTGGCTAAGCATTCTATAACACCAGTCCTCCAGCTAGCTGCATCTTCCTTCAGCTTGAAACTTACTGTGCCAATAGGAAAAACAGAAAAAAAAGAAAAAGGGTTTTCATTATTAGGAGAGAAAACATCCTCCACCAAACAGTACCAAGTAACTATTCCTTATGTCTGTCTTGTTATTAAAACTCATAGGATTAAAGAGCTAATTAGAGTGTCCTAGGTTAGGCATTACCCATTGTTACCAGAACTGAGTCACGCCTGCTCCCTGGCTTTTTAAGAACCAGCTTGATTTAACATTTGGTTCACCTGGGTGTGTTTTAATGTCTCTGGCACAATGAAGTATGGGAATTAACATTTGCAAACTCAAAGCAGACAAGCGATTTGGGTTGGAGATAGCACCAGGCCAGTCTGCAGCTCTCCTGGGTCTTCTCTCACCGCCTGCCCCACTGGGTTCCTGCTACCAGCCACCCTAATCGGGGAGAACTGCCCTCTCTCCCGCACATAGCAAATGACTCTGGGGCAGTTAATGAGGTAATTGCAGGCTAAATATATTCCTCGAGAATCAGAGATATAAAGTTTCCCACCATTCTTTTCCCCTTGTAGCCTTTTTCTTTTTTGTAAGATTTTATTAATTTGCAAACCAACTAATTACGACTCCTCCAGGCTAAATAACTGTGCAGTTGGCACTGTAATAGACGAGTGGTTTGGGCTGAGAGAGCAGGTCCTGTTTTTTTTTTTCGCCTATTACATACATTGTTTTAGGTAATTAACATCCACTTTGTAGTGGCAGCTCTGACGCCTCACTGTCTGAACAGTGTCTTGGCTGACAGCCTCTGAATAGCCCTGGTGAACTTCTTGCAAAATCTTATGATATTATTATATAATTCTCCCCGATGAAAGCTCAAAGAGAATTTGCACACATAGCTACGTGTGAGCTTTTGGATTAGACACAGTCACATAAAGTCCCTTTTATGAGGAAGTGTTTTCTTCCAGCCAGGCAGGCATTGGGGTTGGAGCAAAGGAAAGGACTGGGTTTGAATTCTGGCCCTGCTGTCAGCAGATCAGATAAGAAACAATGACCTCCTGGGGCTTTTGTGAGCATTCAATTAGTTTTTAACCTTACCTGGCTGGTGAACATAGGTTCACCTTCTACCAGGTTAACATCCCTTCTCCATGTTAAGAAAAATTAACAGGGACACTCCAAAACAAATCCATAATGTTTTTCTCTTTTATTCTTGCCTTTAAGCACCATTTTGAATCAAAATCTGGAACTTTGGACAATGAAGACCTCCTGGATTGTCCAATGTCCTTGAATTATGTAAATTAACTGGTCTTAAACACACTTTCTCCGTTCTGCATCCCTACTCAATTTTTCTCCCTAGAGCCTACATATTCTGGCTGGCTTCTTCAGCTCTCCTGGCATGTGGGCTTTCAGAGATTTCCTAAAATCAGTGGGGTTTGATTGAAGGTGTTTCTAAAACATTTTGCAGTTCTTTGCTTTCAGAAATGGCTGAGCCCCAAAAGAAATGGTGAGGGGCATTCCTCAACGCTTTATCACCTACCTGACAGTTTTTTGTTTGTTTAAAACAACTCCAACAGCAGCAACAACAGCAAATATATGGCCAGCATCGTGTCATTGGAAGCAGCCAGACACCGTATTTTCTTGCGCTTGTGACACCCAGAGCCTTCGTTAATTAACAATTCAGTGTGTCCTCTTTTCTCCAAAGTCAGGGGAAGCTGGCTAGCTGATGAGTCTTAAGTGACACCAAATTACTCTATTGTTTTCTCTTCTTTATTTGCTTAAGTTTTATGAGGAGTTAATTCTTAAACACCGACCCCCCTGCAAGGCACAGTCTTCCCAGAAATAAATCAGGCAGCCCTGGTGGAGTTACTCGGACCTGCTGGCCCGTGGGCTGGAGCTTCCTGACTCCTATGGTGGAGTGAGGGGAGTAGACAGAGCTGCCTCCCCGTCTCCTTAGGGAAAGACCAAAGGATCTGGGGTTGGAAACACAATGGATCAAAGGACCTGCAAGTCTGAACAAAGACAAGGGAAGGAGAGGCCAAAGAGAAGAGGATTCCGTGGGAGGCGGGACCTGGCTCTGAAATGATACGTATGAGTATCTACTGCATACCCAGCCCAGGCTCATTATTATCTTGTTTAATCCCAACAATTTCAATCCTATGAGGGGAATTTTAATAACATTCCAAGAAACTTACACCCAAAGCAGGTTAAGTGGCTTATGCGAAGTCACATAGCTAGCAAGTGGCAGAGCCAAGATTCAACCCCAGTTCTGCTCTGACTCCAGGCCTGGTGCTTTTCCCATAGATCTCACACAACCACCTTTCCCATTTGGGTAGCCAGGAATAGGAAACCAATTTGGGGAGTAAAAAGAGAAGGATGGATTCAGCTGTCTGTACTCTGGTAGCTGACCAGAGGGAGTCCAGTACGCTCTAGTGCACTCAGTTCTTCAAGGCTGGGCTCCACATGCTACAGACCTAAGTCAGAGTGGACCTGAGGTCAACCTCTTAAAGCACAATTCTCACTCACTTGCATTCCAATGCACCAGAGGTCACAAACTGGCAGCCTGTGGTCCAAAACTGGCTTAAAGATATGTTTTATTTGGCTTTTAAGTGTTGAATCACACAATATATTTTAAAAATTAGATTCATTGTCAACACTGAAAAATCAGGGTTTGCATCTTCCATGTCTAACTACGATGAACTAGTTTGTCTTAGACCAACTCTTCCACTAAGAAGAATTTAAAAAGCTGGACTTAACAGATGTATATGTGTATATATATCTGTTTGATATTGTTGAAGAGCTACTAATGGCGCCAGGGCTCAAGAGGCCGAGATCTCCCCGAGAAGGAAAATACTTTAAAATGGACGGGTGTGCTCAAGTCGTCTGTCAGTTCCCGGGCTGTGCAGGTTGTGGAGGCTGAGGAACAGGGGAGGAGGTGGCAGCCAGGAGGCAGAGAAGCTGAGCAGAGAGCAGTCTCACAGGCTGGAGAGTCAAAAAGTAGCATTCAGGGTGACCAGGGCAGCCAGGACTTCAGGAGCCAAAGGAAATACTAAAGCGAGCCCGACATTTCATGGCGCCCTCTGTTCAAGGCAGTGCTGATATGTAGTCAACGAGGGCCAAGAGACTAGGAAACCAGCAGAGCTTCTGTGCATCCTGGGGAAATGGGAGGATTAAAAAAACAGAATGAAGGACCCACTAAGGAGGAAGGGCCCCGGTGAATACCCAGGACTTTTTGTCGGGATCCCCAAAGGGTGATGCGCTAGGAGCAGGCACAAGCCAAAACAAATCCTGCCTTACAAAGCCTGACACCCAGCCCGACAAAAGCTCAATTTCAAAATGTGATTTGCTTCTACTCTGACTGCCTTCTAGAAGCAATAGCAGTCCTCTCTGGAGACAGATAACATCTTCCAGAGCTGCTACAGTGTGCTATCTGTGCCCCACAGACATTTGAGCTTGCGACACCCAGATTAACTTATTGCAAGTGCAAGATGACAAAGCAATAGACTGAGGACCAGAGAACCAGGACCTATAGGTATTTTTGTCTCTAGAATGTGGGTCCCAGAAGAAAAGGAGATAAAACCCAACAGTCTTGTCCAATTTTCCCCCAGGGCAGCTGTTTAATCTCCAGAATCTCTGTGCAATTTCTACACAGTACAGCCCTTGTTTTTTGAGTATCTCACGGAAACCAGCGCACCACCTTGAACATAGCAGGTGCCTGTTGAATTGAACTGCATTGCACAGCCAAGTGCTTAAGTCACTGCAGACTGGTAAGAAATTCACAGCCAGTGTGTGCTGGAACTGGCACATACCTGCTTGCAAGAGCTGATGTTCACATCTCTTCCCAACTATGGATTTTGGTAACCTCAAATAGGTAGCTTGAAATCATCTCCAGTGGGAGTATTGACACCATGGAAATAGGCAACACTATAAATCAGAACTTTTTCCCCTTCTAGATTGTCACTTGCTACACATTTGCCAGCACATCACTGCTCACAGCCATTGTGGGCTGTTTACACACGGAGGGAGCAGAGCTGCTAACTCGCACACACGTGTCCGCAGCTTTTCTGTATATGATGGGCTCAGCCTTCCGCATGAGCTGCCACTCTGCAGGATACCAGCGTGGACAAGAGGAGGAAGAGGTGAGCAGTAAGTTTCGTTGAATCCAGTAAACTCAGTCAGATTCAATGATTTAGATCTTTAGATATTTTAGTTTCTTCAGGGTAAAATACTCAGATGATCAGATTTTCCTCCTTCCCTTGTGTATCAGTTTAGGTTTTCAGAGAGAACTAGACTTGAGGATAGAGAATAAAGTGCAGGAAGTTTATTGGGAAGTGCTCTCAAATCAACTCTGCTGAGGAGGGAAGGAAGCAGGATTGGCAGAGGGGGAGACTGAACTGAGAAACAGGCACCACAGTGGCCACACCCGGTCCCTAGGGACCACACACCAGGGCACCCTGTATGCCTTCATCAAGTTCTAAATCATTTTTAATTGATTACCAACATTTTAGTATCTTTCCATACAAATCAGGATGCCCAGTTTCTACGGAAGAATTGGAAGATGGGGCAATGATTGGCTAGAGCTGGGGCAAGGCTCTGTGACACTAGGGAAATTACTTACACTCTCTGAGCTTTAGCTTCCATGTCTATAAAGTAAGGATAAAAATACCTGGCCCACAGGGTGGCTGTGAGGATTAAATAAGATCACAGTTTGAAAATTTTTGGCACAAAGGGAGTGCACAATGAAAGGTGCCTGTTCATGCTTCACTGGTTGGAATTGTCTCTGAGTTCTCTCTGGATTTTCATTTACTCCCAGAAAACACACAGAAGCGCTGGCACGTGAGCTTGTGCAGCCTGGTGAAGGCTTCTGCTCTGTGCTTTACAGAAGCTCACCGATAAGCTTCTCACTTTATGTCAACCCTAACTATGGATGTGAATCATTTCCATAAATTAAGTCAATCTTCTCGGTTTGTCATCAACCATCTTTGTAAACAAGAGGAAAACTAAAAGAAGAAAGTATATATTTTGGCTTAAAAGAAAAAGAAAAATTCTACAAACTCCAAAGAGATACAACTCTCTCAAGACAAAATTCTATTTTCATTGGACTGATGTGCCCTTCACATTTTGGCTGATCGCATTTTCTTGGGAGTAGATATCCGTTAATGATCATGCTGCCCGGTAAAAAAGGAGACAGGAGGTTTATTTAGCGGGAGCAATACACTGTCTGGTATCGGAAGCTTGTTGTTGAGTAAGTTTCTGATGAATATTAGGGATGTAAGTACCCCGTTCTAGTCTAATGTCTTTCTCCTATGAAGAAAAACCTGAAAACAGTGACGTTCAGCGATTTGTTCTGCCCCCACACCCTCCGCAGGCCAGCACAGGCCTGTGGGTAGCGCGCCGCGCCCGGACTCACAGCGATCCCGACGTCGGGAGGTGGGAGGCTCCCTCCTCGAAGGCTGCAGCCGATGGGAGTGGCGGCGTGAGCGCCCTGGGGCTGGCCTTCCTCCAGCTGGGCCTTCCAACGTGCAACCGATTTGGGGGCTGGCGGCCGCAGACAACGAGCCCTGTTGGTAAATGGCCACAAATCGTTATCTGAGTCATCTCCTTACTTTCAGGTCATGCATTCATTCATTCAAAAACTCGTTCACCGAGTGCTCACGATGTGCTAGGCACAGATGGCGGTGAACAACAGAAGGGCCCGGACACTGACGAGCGCGACACAGTCCGGTAGGAGACAGATACAGATTAATTGATAATTCTGCTCCAGCGTCACACTCAGTGAGTGCCAGTGCTTGCAAGTCTGATGCCTTGAGTAGACAGGAAGATGGGGCCAGCTGTGCCGGGGGTTAGGAAGGTCTCGCAGAGGAACTGGCTTCTCGGGGTGGCCCTGGATGGACACAGAAGAGCTCGCCCAGTCGCGGAGGGAACATGCATACGGGCAGAGCTTTAGGGAGGCGGCGAGTAGCTGGACTGGGCTTGAAGGAGAAGCTGTGAGGGAGAGCGCAGGAATCAGGCCTAGGCGGGGTAAGGGCCCATTTGCGCCCCTGAATGCCACACTGAGGACCGCGAGCCTCTCCTCCAGGCAGGGCAGCCGCTGGCGGCCCCAGCAGGAGAGCGCCACGGTCGGACTCACGCTAGAAGTGTGACCAGTGATACGCTGTCATCTCTCGTGTGTCAAAATCACACAAAGGCCATCCTCTGAGGACAGCACACCTGGTGGAAGAGGATAAACTGGGAGTGGCTTTGTTGGAGGGCCTGCGGCCGGTGGTTCCTTTCCCATCTTCTTCTGACCCGGGATTCCCATTTGTCCTGGCTCAGGCTGGTGGTCAGACAACGCTGCTTCCTTCCAGCCACCTGTTAGGAGACCTCGTAGCAAACTCAGGAATGGGAGTCTGATCCATGTTGGGGACAACGGGATCCTGGCCTTGGAATGAAAGCAGAACTGCGTGGCTGGGGTCAGCTGCAGAGGCAAACAGCTGGAGCCGCCCAGACTGGCGAGCCCTGGAGAGATCAAAGTGCAGGACGGGTCACAGAGGCAGGACTGGGGTCCTGGAAGTGTGTGCTGGCCTCCCTCTCCTCCCGTCCCCAAAGGGTCATCCTCTGGACCCAGCATCCCTTCTTTCCCATCCTTGGCAGACACAGAGCAGAGCAGAGACCTCAAGCTCAGACTGTTCCAGAAAACAGAGCTGGGTTTCACTTTAGCAAAGAAACAGCTAAAAGAAACCTGAGGCTTTCCTGGGCCTGTCCGGAGAACAGTCTCCCACTAGCTAGAATTCACCGGTTGGGTCGCGCTTGCTAAGCGACCTGCTCCTGGAATATCGATCTTATCACCCACGCTGTTGCACGAGCCAGGCATGAGACCTCCCACGCTCCCTGCAGAGTTCTCTTTTGGGGCAGGAAAGTTGGGTAGGCGCTTTTAAACCTTCCCTTGCTAACTTCACGCAGTCTCACCCACGTCCTGGCAGAAGCCACCTGGACACCAGAGGGCACTGCGGCACCAGCTCATCCCCAGGCTCCTTCCACCCAGCGTCTGGCCGGCTGAGCAGCCCGGCGCTCTGAGTCCCGGGACAATCACATGGAACAGACTCCAGGATGGAAGCAATACAAGAAACGGGAACTTGTGTTTTTCCTCACTTCGATTTGCCACTGATGGTTTCTTTAGCCTTACTGAGGGAAGGGAAATCGAGAGGTTTACCACTATGGGAAGTGTACCCATAGATTTTAAGACCTGCCCTGATTTCACACAAGTTCAAAAACTGAAGAAACAATATGTACCTTGAAAACAAGGGAATGTGATAGTGATCGCTAGATAAAAATCCTGCAGGGGTCTGTGCAGAGGCCTGACTGTAGGCTGTCCCCACGGCAGGGACCCAGGTACCAATCAGGAAAATTCCCAGTAGCCAAGAAATAGCCAGATGCATGATTTTACTTGAGTCCTGGCCGGATATCATTAAAGGAGTCTGCCCTTCCTGCTGTAAGCAAAGCTCTACTTGTTACTATTTATTGAGCGTTTAAATGGGCCGGGAATTATGCTAAGTGAGCTCAGTGATTTACAGTCTGTGGGTTTTCTCATCTCATCTTCACCATAGTCCTCAAAGATAGAGATGATTTTAACAAATAAAGAAACTCAGGCACAGAAAGGCTGGTGGAACAGATCAGTTGGTAAGAGCAGTGCAGGATTCAAACCCAGGTCCACCAGACTGCAGCCCAGGCACGTGCTCTTAACCACCACACGCGGCATTTGGGGGGCTCAGCCCTCACTGCCTTTCCGTTTTGGCTTCCAGATGGGCACCAACAGCATGAGTTGGGGGCATGATTTAAAAGCAGATGAAATATTTCTGTACAGAAACAACCAAACCAAAAAAAAAAAAAAAAACAAAAACAAAAAATAACCACACAAGTTTTCTGGGACAGTTTAATTTCAGATACCTGTAATATCTGTTGAAAGATAATGCTTAAACGATGAATCAAATGATATTTTTGTCCGTAAATTATGAAACTGAAGGGCATTTTTAGCAGAATTAATTGCCAGAGACAGGAGTCCAAGGTATAATCCAGGCTTGGCTGTGACCCCATCAGCTGCGTCTTAGGAGATAGTGAATGAAAAGGCTATTGAAAGTGGAAAACACCATACAAACAAAAGACAGAAATGATTTATATGATCGGATCAAAGCCCCACGCCCCTCTCTCACAGGCACGCCTTCTGCCTCCCCAGGGAGAGGCGTCGTGTCAGGGCACACTGCAAACGATCATGGACTGAGTCAGAAACGGGCTCAAATCTCCACTCTGCTGTTTGCTAGTTGTGCAGCTTTGAACAAGCAGTTTCACCTCTCCAAGCCTCAGTTTCTTCCTCTCTTAAGTGGGTATAATAATCGCCATATTTTATAGAGCAGATGTTAGTAATAACTGCATGCGTTTGTCACATGCTGTGAACCAAACACTGTGCCCACTGCTTTGCACATTCAGTACATTGCATTTTCCCGACAGTCCATGGGGCGGCGGCTTCTGTTGTGCTCCCAGTGATCGTGGTGGTGGGAGAGGCACAGAGGTGTCGAACAGCGTGCCCACATCCTGCTCCTAAGTTACAGAGGTGGAGCTCACACTCAGGTTTATCAGACGCAGGAGCTTAGAGCTTAAGCTTGAGACGGTGTAGAAGGAGCCGGCGATTACGGGCGACGCCCCCTGCATGGAAGGGCGCTGTGGGGAACGGCAGCGTGCGCAGGGAGAAAGTTCTCTGACAACGGAAACGACACCTGAGGTCCTCACAGTATTATTTTTTCAGAGACTTGATATTGTCAAAGGAAAGGAAGAGAGAGAAAAAAGAAGTTTGTGTGGTTTTTCTTTTCTTTCTTCCCCTTTGGGTAGAACTTTGTCTTTTCTAAGACACTGCATGTACACAGTCTCCTTCGATCCTGATGCTAAGCCCATGCAGCGCACAGGGCAGATTTCATGACCCCCATTTTACTGAAGGTAAAATGAGTCCCTCTAGCTTAAGGATCAGCCAAAGGCCCCACTGGTGACAAAGGTGCAGGTAAAATGTTAAAAGGCTGCCATGAGGATTAAAAGCGCCACTCGGCAGGTTCTCAGTGAACGCTGGCTGGATGCGAAGGATCTGGAAACGCTGCCCAGACCATGTTGCTCACTTTTCCTCCGAGCTCTGGCTCTGCCACTGCGTGGTACCAGCGCTAATCTCAGCTATGGCACAGAGGGATATTTTTGGACAAAATGCCCTCCAGTGAAACACTTGCGGTTATGGAGCATTGTCGGAGATGGGTGGACAGGTCTCTGAGAAAGCCCTGACTGACTCCACCACACCCTTCAGAGAATCTTAGCGCCGGGGTAGCCCAGAGACCGCCTGGTCCAGCACCCCAGCTCCCAGGCACTCCCAGCCCAGCTGGGGGGGTGTGCCCCATCTGCTGCCACTTCACTGCTACTTCCTGACAATTCGCTTTCAATCGACTCACTTTTCAATGTAGACGAATGTATTTTGATATGTATTCATGAAATCATGAGTTTGACTTGCTGGGTGCAGTTTGTTAAAAATGCATGTGTTTCAATTCAGGCATTTCTAATATTATAAATACGTAGTACATGAGAAAATTAAAATATGTCCATATTCTACACTTCTGGAAGCTTGATCGAGTCAAATGCCTTCATAACGTAAAGGAGAAAACAGAAAGCAATCAGAGCAGAACACATTGCGCGGGTATTTAGTAGCATAGAGACACTTGAACCCAAGTCACTTTCCTTAGACTCTGGGGCTCTTTGCCATTAAACGTTCCCTTTTGACCTTAAGATCAGCAACATTAGCTACCTGGAGCTGTGTGGAACAAAAGTATTTGGAAGGGGAGATGTACCCCCTAAAGTCTTCCCAGTAGGCACCCTGGGGAGCAGGGCTGTGAGTGATTGAGGTTTCTCCTTTGAGCTCATTGGCATTTTCTCACTGAGTGCGCACTGCTTATGTAATTTTGGTTGCTGTGTAAAAAGTCAAGGTATTTTTATATGTTTATAATATATGCCTCATAAATCCAGAAAGATGTCCATAGCCTCTTAAATCAAGAGGGAAATTCGCTTTGTTTGCTATTCACCATGGACTGGCTTTCTGATAATAGTGGTCACTGTTTGCTGAGCACGTACTTTGTACTGGGCTCCAGGTTAAGGGCTTATCCAGATCATTTAATTCTCACAAGCTTGTAAGGTCGATATTACCTGCACCTCCCAGCAGCACTGGGAGGGGGTGGAAACGGGCATCAGAGCTTAAAGGTCCAACACCGATTTCTAGTCTCAGAGCAGCAGGCTGGTATTAGAGACTGCCACCATGCTCAGCCCAACATGGCAGGGACACCTGCGTGGCACTGTCTCCTCTGAGCCACTCCTGGGACGGGACGGGACGATGTGGAGATGGGCGTCCCCTTATTCCACTGCAGAAGCTGATTTGCAAAAGGTTTCCACAGTTTGCCTATAAAATCAAACAGCCGAGGCCAAGAACCCAGTCATTTCCATCTCTTCTTTTTTCTAATTGCTGAGAACATTGCCTACGGTTGGTGGGATACGTTGATATTTC